GCGCACCGTCCCAATTCCTGCTGGGAAGTCCAGCGCTACCAATCTGGTAGGCAAATGGCCACAAAGGTGGCATCTGCAGCCTCATCGAATCCCGCGCTTAGGAGCTGGAAAGCCCAAATCTACATGACATGCATGTATGGCAGCCTGTGCCTCGAAGGCCTATGTAGTGGGATCGCAGACTTTGCGTGCACCCAAATATGGCGTGTCGTTGGATGAGGACGCGGCCTCTGGCTCCAAGCTTTATACTGCATTCAGGCTGGGCTGAGTGAAACGGCTTTGAGTAGATCGGGTTATGTCATGTCGTTGGACGATTCTAGCACCACGAAGCAGGCTGAAACCCACGTTCTGCTTTGGCAGCGACTCAATTGGCAAGGCTCCTGTGTGAATGTGGTTGCGCACGAGCCAACGATGCTAGCACGGCACTTGCCCACAAAATGCACGATGCAAGAAGCAAGGCAATCCAAGCTGACTTGCGCGCGGTGTAGCCTCTGCTTGGGCAGCTTGTGCACAACCTGCAGGCCAAGGGCTTTGCAAAGTCCAAGGCCAAATTCCAAGCAGCGGTAAGGGGCAAATCATTCCTTTTAATCCACAGGACCAACATATGCACATGCAGCTACACACCAGGGCATGAGCTGAAGGAATGTGGGCAAGCTTATTGAGCTTGACAACGCTGGCAGCCGCAGCGGGAACTGCGCAATACTCCTTTGGTCTGTTGAGTCTTTCAGGTGTTGTCAGCAACATCAAAGATGCGAGCTCCGGCTTGACTGCATCTGCTGGACCACCGCGCCCAACTACCTTGCCTGTCATTGGCAATGAGTCTACCAGATCAGCCAGTCAAACGCACGCATCAGCTTGGATGTCATCTCTGGAAAGCTCTCCTGCCATCGACACGGCTGTCAAAGCCGAGGCTAATATCGCAAAGTGAGGCATGGTAGGAGGTTTCACAATGTTGCTGCCTAGCTTGGTCCGCGCCCTTGCCATGCTGGAAATAAACTGATGCAGCGATGACTGCTGGCTCTTGCACATGGTACACGCAGCTGGCATGATTGCACTTTGGTGACGTGATTGTCTGCTCCTCAGGGTAGTGCCATTGGTGGGTCTGACTAGGGCACATCATCTCCCAAGTTGTTTGGCATGCCGAAGCCAACCGAAACCGACGCTCTGCCTTGCAGGCAGTGACTCAATTGGCAAGGCTTTTGTTTGGGTGCGGTTGCGCACGAGCCAGCGACACTAGCACAGCACTTGCCCACAACGCTGCTTGTCAGAGGTAGTCCAAGCCGACTTGCATGCAGTGTAACCTCTGCTTGGGCCGCTTGCACAACCTGCAGGTGAAGGATTTTGCCAAGTCCAAGGCCCAATGTCAAGAAGTGGCAATGGGCAAATCATTCCTTTTAATCCACAGGACCAACATTGTTATGCACATGCAGTTACATGCAAGGGCATGAGCGGAAGGAATGTATGCAAGTTTCTTAAGGTTGACAACGCTGCCAGCCGCAGCTGGAACTGTGCAATACTCCTTTGGTCTGTTGAGTCTTTCAGGTGTTGTGAGCAACATAAAAGACGCGAGCTCCGGCTTGACTGCATCTGCTGGACCACTGCGCCCGCCTGCTTTGCCTGTCATTGGCAATGAGTCTATCAGATCAGCCAGTCAAACGCATACATCAGCTTGGAGTTCATCTCTCGAAATCTCTCCTGCCATCATCCTGCAGGTATGCTCAATCAACGGGCGGTTCTGGCAAGAGAGGGCAAGCCGCTATCCCGTAGGTTGAACACTCTTTAGGCGGCGGGTCTCCCATTGTTGCGTGCGCAGACTCCGTCTGGCTGTCAAAGCCGAGGCTAATGTCGCGTCGCGCAGTGCGGCAGGCAGGAGGTTTCATAATATTGCTACCTAGCCTGCTCGTCCCACATCTATCCAAAGTCCGCGCCCTTGCCATGCGGGAAATAAACTGATGCAGCGATGACTGCTGGCTCTTGCACATGGTGCACGCAGCTGGCACGATTGCACTTTGGTGACGTGATTGTCTGCTCCTCAGGGTAGTGCTGGTGGTGGGTCTGACTACTGCAAATCATCGCCCAAAAGTTTTGGCATGCTGAAGCCAACTGAAACGCACGCTCTGCATTGAAGGCAGTGGCTCAACTGGCAAGGCTCTTGTTTGGATGTGGGTGCGCACGAGCCAGCGACGCTAGCACGGCACTTGCCCACAACGTTGCTCCTCACAAATGCACGACACAAGAAGCAAGGTAGTCTAGGTTGATTTGCATGCAGTGTAACCTCTGCTTGGGCAGCTTGTGCACAACCTGCAGGCGAAGGGCTTTGCAAAGTCCAAGGCCAAATTTCAAGCAGCGGCAATGGGCAAATCATTCCTCTCAATCCACAGGACCAACATACGCACATGCAGTTACATGCCAGGGCATGAGCAGAAGGAATGTCTGGAACAACGTGCCCAGATTCACCCGCCCCATTCAGGGCAAGATTCTGGATTTGATTTTGTCTTCGACTGGAACCCATGGAGTCAGCTTTCCTTGGATCTAAGCCAACCGGAGGGGGTACTCAAAAGAATGATGCGCCTTCGCTCTGAAGTGAGATAAACTTGCAGCTCTGCTCAATGCTCGCATTTAGGCGCGCGCTCTGGCGACCTCGGCCTGGGCACCACATGAAGGCCAATGATCAGGTCAACGACAGGCCTGTCAAGGACAAGGCAATCACGACATTCAAGGGACAAGTGGCACGATCAGTCGCGGGTTCAGCCACAATGACCTCTGGACAAATAACAGACGTACCTACAAGTCCAACAATCGTCGCGTGCCCTTGCTGCTTCGTGCACCTGGCCAACAAAACATTCTCCATGGACTCCATGCGGATGGGTTGAGTGAGAAAACTCGATCCCAGACCATCCGTGCGGCTCAGCGAAGCAAGCAAACCCAACTTCGCAACTAGGCGGGCATTGTTGTATACCGGTGGGCAATTTCCAGCCAAACCTACGAGTCCAGCTGTCTTGTGCCCTTGCTTGGACCAGTCCTGCCCTGTTTCGCTCAAACCCAACTTCGCCACTAGGCACGTGTCGCCCGCAGCCAAGGATCCTGCAAGAAGCTCAAGCTCCGAGGAGACTTTTCATGGAGCCGGAGCGGATCTATGGAAGGCTTGAAACCTCACTTGTGCACCTGGAAGGCACCTCTTGACCTTTTGGCTTTCCAACGTTGGTGCATGTCCAGTCAAGGTACGAGGCTCAACGTGCCCGCTTGATGGGCCCAGTGCGTGTGTGTGTGTGTGTGTGTGTCAGTGCCAGTCAGACTTCCCGCAAGAACTCAGCCCAGAGTCTTGAAGTGCGAAAGTTGCCTAAAAGTGCTTGGGAGCAAGATGTCAAGAACAAATGACTTCCCAACGTTTCCATGCTTCGCCTTGCGCTTGGAAAGTGGGCCTAACTCTTTGAAGTGAGTGTTTTGGTTGAGGTGCCGCGCAAATGGCTATGAGGCTGCGTGGCGCTGGTGCCGAGACCGTGAAGCGCCAAGCTCATTGTCAGTGACGCTTGATGGGCAACTTCGTCTCTAATGCCTCTCTAATTGGGTGGGATTTGCTCTCTAAGAAAGAACTTCACCTTTTGGTTGAGTAGAAAGCCTGCTAGTCTGCTACCTACGGGCTACAGTCACTCCAGTGATCAACTGTGAGCCGCCAGCAGGATTAAGCATGGGGGCGGAAGGGCTGCAAGGGCTGCGCAACTACACCACAGTTCAGCATCGACGGCTCTCACATCTGCGAGGACCAGCGCATGGACACGCCCTTGGCTCTGCTCTCACGGGCTGCAACGTGATGCGGTAGCACTGAGGCTTGCAGTACACAAGGGCTTCAAAGTCTACTTCAGGAGAAAACTACCAGGCTCGATTTCAGGCATCAACTTCGGATTAGATCAGTAGTGTTGGTCAGGTCAACGGCGCGAACTACTCCAGCATCAAGGCCCTCCAGGCACTCTTTCAGACGTGTTCATTGCCCTGCCAAAGAATCTCCTCAACTTGCGCGTCCAACTCTTTCGAGGCACACATCGCCCCAGGGCAAATGTCAATGCGCAGTCCAAGCTGTCTTACTCGAAGCACGCTCAATGTGTCAGGTCATGCCTCATATTTAGATTTCCTGCCCTTGTGCGCGTTGAACCGTAGCTGAAAACCAAGCTTGTCGTGTCGCATGAAGCTTGAGCTCTGACTGCAAGAATCTCGCACAAACGCCCTAACAGTGATGCGCTCTGATGCATCTGGCCAGAGGGGCCAAGGGGAGCAAATGGGCGCCTCCGAATCATCGCTCCAGTTCATGGGGAGAATGCTTACATCAAAGGCTTTGCAATAGCAGAACGACGTGTGGCAGAGGAATGCAGGGATTGTGCTTGCAATTCACAGCTAAGTGCAAGTAAGAAGCAAAATGTGAGCTGGTGAAGCTTGAACATTCTGCTGACGTCTGGAATGCTTCCTTTGCACAAGCAACAAGGAAGACCTCACCGTGCTTAGCAATGCTGCCGAGGAGTTCCATGCCAAACGCACTTCGCAAGCGGTCCGCTGGTACAAGGTCCGTCTCTGCCCGTCCTGTGCTGAACACATGGGCATGCCAGACTCTCTCACCTCTTCGGGGCGTAGCGACCTTAGAGCGTGCAAAGAAAATGCCAGCATGGCAACCACCAAAAGCCATGGCGATGCTTGGTGAGGCTCTCTTACTGCGAGGCAGGCTGATCTGCGAGCTGGAATCTTAGATGATTCTACAGGAGCTGGGAGACCCTTCTGCAAGGCTCGTGCAGCCATCATCTCAGCTTCGAGTGTCTGGCAATATGCTCAAGCCGTTGTCTGCGGCCAGTATGCCTGCATCATCTCGCTTGCGGTGAATTAGCCATGCCAAGTCTGACCTCTGTCATGCACTGCCTCGCGTTTTGAATCTTTGGCTTCTTCCCACTCTGACCACCCCACGCAGTCTTGGGACGCCGGCTCAGGTGCGGAAAGCTATGCGCACTGAGTGCTTGAGACTAGGCCTTGCCAAGAAAAGGCATGGCAAAACCCGCGGCGCTCGAGACAAGGCGAGGCCCAAGGAGAGATGGCAAAAGAGGCCGTCTCAGACCGCACAACTGCAGAAAATTGCACCCACCCACAACTCGAGTGTGGGCCAAGCAGCCGAAGGATGCAGCAAACGCTAAACAGCGTTTGCAATTGTCACGTTGCCGCTGTCGGAAGTACGGAAGAGACACTGTAGCGCAGTGCGTCTGGCTCGAGGCAATCTTGGGAAATTGTTTGTCATTGACATGCCTCAGGAGTGCAAAGGGAGAATGGAAGGCCCTTTGCATGAGGCGTCAGTTACTTTCCAGCGACCGAGCGAAGAGTGCACGCGTGATATTGATTAGAAGCACTCACAAGGTCACATTAAGGGGTGGTTGAATCACAGGAGGATGAATGCAGCATCAGCTTCTTCGCATAGCATGTGCATTTCCTGCTGCGCAAGAGACGACTCGGGCAGCTCGTGCTCCAATGATCATGATGCGGGTGCAGAATTGGCTTCAGCAGGCTCGATGTTGCTCTCCAAGCCAAAGGTCTTGGGCTAGGCTTCACAAAGGGGTGCATCTGTCGCTGACAGGAGTGACGGTCTTTTCTTATTGTGTCCCCCAACGACCTTGCATTTTGGTGAGCCAACCCCGTGTCCAAATGGTGGCTTGGTGGGTGTGACCCGTGTCATCCTCTTTGCTGCGATTGATGCTGGTAAATACTGACAGCCCCCCATACGGCCCTCTAAGATTCTAGCTGCTTCTAGCCCCAAACCCTTCGGTGAAAGATACTGCGTGTTGTTTCGAAAAAGGCCTTGCCCACCGCAAGGCTCGCTGTCGCAGGAGCGAGGAATGGCTGGATTGTCAGGATGGGAGCAAAATGCATTGCAGATCGCGCCCCTGCAGCAGTGCACCTAGCAGCCCTGAAGGACACACGGCTCGGGTCTTGCGATGCAAAGCGACATTACGCACGATGCTTTCCGAGTCTTGGCCAGCAAGCCGAGCAATCCGAGCAAGCCGAGCAAGCTCATCCCATGCATTGAACTGAACAGAAATATTTGGATGGCGTCGTGCTCAACAGCATCCCCTGCGCTTGGCGATCTTGGGTGCCGATGCCACCACCTTCCGGGTGCAGCGAACACCACTTGGCAGCATCTCTAAATGCGCATTCGGTTCAAACTGGAAGGCAGTGGTCTATTATAGTCTATTGTCCCGCAATCAATTCCACATCTTGCGAAAAAGGCACATCTTGGCAGCGCAATGTGCTAAAGTGCCCGGCACTGCAGATCCGGGTCTGTCTCAAAGCGAGCCCCTTTTTGGACGGCTTTAAACGGAATCCAACGATTTTCAGGGCGCTGGTGGAAAAACCTCGCATTTCAGCCTTGACTCCGCTATTGCAACAGGCTGCTTAGGCCCGTGCCGGCGTGGACCTGACTATTGCAGTTCCTGGGCGTCCAAATCTGCGCGCCCATCCTTCACTATCAAGCAAGCAAGCGGAAAGCACGTCCCACACTAACGCGCTTGCTCATCTCACGGCTCGTTGGAAAGAAACGACGGGACGTCTGCTTTTGCACGGCGCGCGCAGCTACCCATTCCTTCAAAGGCTGAATACAGCAAGCAGCCCCTGACAGCGATGCAAATGCTTACTGGGCCTGGAGCAATGCACGCAATGCCGCATCTGAATGACACCTTTACGCAGCGTACCATGCGTGCCAACTGGGCTGGATGGGCACATCACATCTTGAAACCAGGCAAAACCCATCCGATGTGCTCCAAAACCTCAGGGCCATGGATTTCTGTCGCCAGCAGCATTGCCAAGACCAGGCACAAACATCCAGGGCTGCCTACCTTGCAGACCTCCTTGGAAAGCTTTGGCTTCGGGGCCAACACCACTCGAACTGTCTTGCAAGGTGCATGCGCGCAAAGCTTCCTTAAATTATGCACGGCTCAGCAGCTGCGCAGGGGCACGGAGAATGCAGCTCTGCATCTGAACTTAAATCATCTCTGCAAAATGACGCTCAAGGTTCACATGTGCCACAGCTGTCTAATTCCCTTGCAAGTATGATGAACATCCCTACCCCCAGGAGGGGTGTTCTGAGAGCTCACACGAAGGCACGGGCATCCAGAAGTCCTAAGTCGTGGCTGACATGTCCCTCCCGCCTTCAAGGCTGCGGCTTGCTGGCCTAGAAGCGGATCGTGCAGCACTTGGAGAGCCACATGCCGCCAGTCGCGCGTCCCGCTTCGGGCCAAGTGGGTGTTCTCATCAAGGCAGCGCGAAATGCTTGCAAAGACCTTGGGCCCCTGTTCTATCCAATTCCAGAAAGTTGCATCTCGCAGCCCAGCATCGCATGATTTCGCAAGCACCGTGTCGTAGGCAACGGGAGCTGCGTTCCTGCACACTTACAGGCCTTATCTCAAGAAGCGCACCGTGGAGGTCTCAACACGCAGGTCGATTCGTCACGCGCTCGCTTCGAGGTGTTTTCGCGAATCATCGAGCAATTCGCCGCGCGGTTTGGAATGGAAGCTGTCGGGCAAGCTGTCTGGGCCGGCTGAAGACCACGGGCACTATGTGGCCCTTCTGAATCGCTTCAAAGATGCATCGACCTTTCGGCACGACGAGCTTGACACTTTGACACTTTTCTGCTTGTAGATGCTGCAGAAAAGAAATCAGGGGATCTGTTTGCCAGGCCTGTCCCGTCTTGCCTCTTTGCCTTGCAAACGAGATCCAAGTTGAGGCTGACATTTATCGATCGTTGTGGCTTGACTTTGCCGTCTCTTGCGAACAAAGACCTGCCCTCTTTGGAAGTCCGGGAATGTGTATGAGGATAACAAAAGCAATGGATTCGTTCTGCGTGGATGTCACCTACTAGGAAGTCCAGCATAGATGTGGACAATTCAGATGTGCGATGCATATACTTTGAGCGCTTTACTGGAAAATAGCATTCTGGCACACAGACCGTCGCAAACGATCGCATTCTTGGCAACGCTGGACCACTCGAGCACACAAGAAAGGCTTTACTTCGCGATCCTTGGAAGGTCTTGGCAACCATCACTAGGATAGGCTGTGTGCAAGCCAATGCGCACACTCTGCCTCTGATCGCACAAGCCTGGTGGGTCGATCAAACCGTGTACCCTGCTCAGGCGGCTAAACATGCAACTGGGCTGGCAACGCGCCACTTGCAAATGTGGACTTAGAAGCTTAAGGACCGTGAGCCCGTGACAACGCAAACCAAACTTGCCAAGATCGGCACAAAAATGCTGCGGGAGGCCGCGGGACATCTCATTTTATCAGTCCTGCGATCCAACTTGAGCCCTAGGCACTGCCCCGCCTGCGGTTTTAACATGCTGCAGCCAGACTTGGCTGGAGCGGCACGATCACATGGCAGGCTGCAGCCCAAAGCGCGCGACTCCAGCGCCATTCTCAGGCCTGGAGCTGACGGGGCCGACTCAGCTTTGTGCAAGTGATTTGGCGGACCTGCGGTTCACGACGAGGCTTTTGCTCAAATGAGCATCGGCTCAAAGCAGCCTTTTCGATTGACGGACTTGTTTCTGGTCCTAAAGTGTCTTACCCGCTTGTTGCGAACCAGCCAAGAGGAAGGACTACTTGGATAGCTATGTGATTGTCCCTTCTTGTTAACCTTCTCAGCGCGGCACAAGTTCCAACAGAAGCTGCGACTGTGTGCCAGCAAGTTGGCCGACTTCAATTGTGCTATGTTGTGCTGGCTTCTCAAGTTTCCAAGCTGCAGCTTTTCTATGTACGAGCTGCTAGCGCGCTGGCTATGGGGGGTGCAAATCAAGCGAAATGAGAGCACTGGGGTCGATGAGGGGGATGCTAGCAAGCAACCGCAGAAAGAGTTTTTGCCAAGGAAGAATGCACAAGCCCTGCAAGCCGCTTTTGAGGCTATCGTCGCTTTGCTGGGCCGCCTTGCCACCTGAAAAGCAGCTGTGCGTGAAGCGCCTGGTTCCGAGATCTGTGATAGATATGATACATAGAATTCATCACCGTGCGCCTTGCCAACAACTTTTAGCCCCAGGACGCTGTCAGGTGGCCACATGCGTATTCACAAGACTAGAAGTCCCAGCCCAATGCACTCTCAGGGTTGCTTCCCAACAAGGCCATGACAGCCTCCAATGAAGTGAGGGCTAAGGCCCGACACGCAAGAGGCATCGCTTGTCTCTGAGCTCTGCTCCCGACAGCATCTGCATCGTCTCCTCTGGGTCAAGGCTTTTCGAAACGAAACGCCGAAGCCGCGCTGCGTTTCGCACACTTCTGCTCGAGGTGAGGTGTCTCCGAAAGTTTCGTCTCATGCCTCAGCGGGCCCAAAGGCCTCAGCGGGCCCAAAGGCCTCAGCGGGCCCAAAGTCAAGTCTGAAAATCTGACCAAAGGCTCAAGTTTCAACCCACAATCGGCATGGACAAGGTCGAGCACGTGCGGCCAACAGCCTTCGCGGCTCTACGCCCGAATAATTAATTACTTCCGGCATGCGCGCAAAAAGCTGGGGCCAAAAAATGCCGGGGAAAAAACGCACACCCTCCAAACGCTCCAAACTCTGAAGGTTGGCCCTTGGCGCGGCAGTTCCAACAAAAGCTGCGACTGCGTGCCAGCACATTGGCAGCTGGCTTCAATTGTGCTATGTTGTGCTGGCTTCTCAAGTTTCCAAGCTGCAGCTTTCCGTGCACGAGCTGCTGGCGCGCTGGCTATGGGGGGTGCAAATCAAGCGAAATGAGAGCACTGGAGTCGATGAGGGGGTTGCTAGCAAGAAGGAGAAGAACTCAGGCAGCCGCAGAAAGAGTTTGGCCAAGGAAGAATGCTCAAGCCCTGCAAGCCGTTTTTGAGGCTATCGTCGCTTTGCTGGGCCGCCTTGTCACCTGAAAGCAGCTGTGTGTGAAGCAGCGCCTGGTTCGGAGATCTGCGATAGATATGGTACATAGAAATCATGACAGTGTGCCTTGCCCACAACTTTTAGCCACAGGACGCTGCTGTCAGGTGTCTACATGTGCATTCACAAGACTAGAAGTCCCAGCCCAATGCACTCTCAGGGTTGCTTCCCAACAAGGCCATGACAGCCTCCAATGAAGTGACAATGGCCATACAAGCCTGAAGTGGCGCGCCTCGCGATGCGCAGAAGAGCTTGGTCTTCACAAGGACGAGAAAATGACTGCGGGCTCAGGTAATCTTCTGCAAGCTGCAGCTTGCAAGGCAGTTCGAGTCGCAAACAGAACAAACTTCTTGACGGCCTGCCTTTGCCTTCTCTTGCGAACAAAGACCTGCCCTGCTTTGAAGTCCGGGAACGTGCAGGATTCGTCCTGAACTGTATCCTGCCAGCAAGTCCAGGATAGATGTGGACCAATCAGATGTGCAATGCCTGTGCTTTGGGAGCTTTAAGTGTTTTTTTCGCACTCTGTGGCATTCTTGGCAATGTGCGACTACTCGAGCACCCAAGAAGGGCTTTACTTCGCGATCCTTGGAATGTCTTGGAAACCATCACTAGGATAGGCTGTGTGCAAGCCAATGCGCACATGTTGCTTCTGATCGCGCGAGCCTGGTGGGTCGATCAGATCAACTCGTGTACCCTACTCAGGTGGCTGAACATGCAACTGGCTGGCAACGCGCCACTTGCAAATGTGGACTTAGAAGCTTAAGGACCGTGAGCCCGTGACATCGCAAACCAAACTTGCCACGATCGGCACAAAAATGCGGCGGGAGGCCGCGGGACATCTCATTTTATCAGTCCTGCGATCCAACTTGAGCCCTAGGCACTGCCCCGCCTGCGGTTTGGAAAATGCTGAATGGTTCGCCTCTTCCTTGTGCTAGTGACGCTCTGGTGGATTTGCGATTGCCAAGAAGCTGGAGCAGCATTCTCAAACATTCCTTTGAACGTTTGTCATTTTGGAGATGCATCGACCTTTCAGACAGCTCTGTGCGAGCTTGAGGTTTTCTGCTGTTCGTACGTGCCTGAGCTGAAGCAGACCGTCGTGCCTCTTTACCTTGCAAACAAGATCCAAGTTGAGACTGACATTTATCGATCGTTGTGGCTTGACTTTGCCGTCTCTTGCGAACAAAGACCTGCCCTCTTTGGAAGTCCAGGAATGTGTATGAGGATAACAAAAGCAATGGATTCGTTCTGCGTGGATGTCACCTACTAGGAAGTCCAGCATAGATGTGGACCATTCAGGTGTGCGATGCGTATACTTTGAGCGCTTTACTGGAAAATAGCATTCTGGCACACAGACCGTCGCCGACGGTCGCATTCTTGGCAACGCTGGACCACTCGAGCACGCAAGAAAGGCTTTACTTCGCGATCCTTGGAAGCTCTTGGCAACCATCACTAGGATAGGCTGTGCGCAAGCCTATGCACGCACATGTTGCTTCTGATCGCGCGAGCCTGGTCGGTCGATCAACTCGTGCACCCTACTCAGGTGGCTGAACATGCAACTGGCTGGCAACGCGCCACTTGCAAATGTGGACTTAGAAGCTTAAGGACCGTGAGCCCGTGACATCGCAAACCAAACTTGCCACGATCGGCACAAAAATGCGGCGGGAGGCCGCGGGACATCTCCTTTCAGCAGTCCTGGGATCCAACTTGAGCCCTAGGCACTGCCCCGCCTGCGGTTTTAAAATGCTGCAGCCAGACTTGGCTGGAGTCACGGCGATCACGTTGCAGACTGCACGTGTGACCTGCAAAGTAATTGTTCCCATGCCATGCTGCATCGTTCGCCTCATCTTCCTTGTGCTAGTGACGCTCTGGTGAATTTGCGATTGCCAAGAAGCTGGAACAGCATTCTCAAACATCCCTTTGAACGCCTGGCACTAATGAGAATGACCTTATGGCTGTGCGATAACAGACTTCTGTGGACTCCTCGGCCTTGTCATTTCGGTAGCTTGGGCGGCGGAATGCCGCCCTTGCTCTCACAGCTTTCGACTCGGTGCACAGACAGCAATGTTGATGCACAATGAGCTAGCCATGTGCACGTGCCTTAAGCGTCCGTCAAACAAAGTCGTGTTGCATCGCAGTCTTGAACAATGGCGGTCGCTGGATGTCCTGTTCCTGCTCTATCGATTCGGGATCATTGAAATCTGTCTGGGTGCTCAACAAGAGCGCAGGTAGCTGGCAATGCAGGGATAAGATCCTCTGAACCAGCATCATTCCTCCGAAATCTAGTCCAGCAAAAAGAGCTTCATCTCTCGGACTGGTCCTGGGCAAGATGGCATGCGGCTTCGCTCAAAATCAAAACGGCCCAGCCTCGCAATGGCACCATAGCCAGCAAACGCCATCTGCAATGACTGGCTAGGGATCACCTTAAAACTCTGCCTCAATGGAATGGCAGGAAAGGGAAACACGTGTACGCCTGCGCGGCTGTGTGCGCGCTTGCGCGTGTGTCAAATTCAGTGACAATTCTGGGAAGACTGGGTGGGATGGCGAGTGCTTTGGGCTATGTTGCATGGCTTCCAAGTGACTCCTCCGTGCATTGGCTTGCTTGGAGCCCTCTGCCGGCCGCCTCTTCGTTTAACTCAGGCTGTGGTGTTCATTTGTGTCAGAACTCGGTTGGTTCCCATTTAATTATGTCCACCAAGCGTTGAGGGTATTCCTCATTCATAGAGAGGTCCGGAGCCTGGAATGGTGGGTTTTTCAGGCCTCCCTTTGCATTACATGTTCACCATTTTGAAAAACCCCCATCTCCTCAAGCCATGCACGCCTCTTCGTGATAGCCACGACAGTCAACCAAGCAAAGCAAGCGCTTGAAACGGGCAACCTGAAAACGGGTGTTCGAAAAACACGGCCCCATGGCATCCTTTTTTGCGGTGCGCCCGGAAATTTCCAGCTGCGACATCCACTCTAACCAGCTTTCTACCCCTTTTTGAGTTCCGTGAGGTACTCTTTTGAGGCTGGATGTTTCAAAGGGAAACCCGGTTTTTTCTGTCTCTTTTTCCGAGTGCACTCCTTTTTCCGCCGCACGGGCCTCCCGGGTAACCCGAACCCGCCCGAGGCGGGGCGAAGCCGACGCGGCAGCTAGCCGCGCAAAGGCAAGAGGCGCACCAAGCGATCAACCAAGCTGCACGCCTCGGGGCCCCACCGCCCGCCGGCCAGGCCGGCGAAGCTCCGGGTACCGCGCCTTTTTGTGGCGCCGGCTATGGCCGCATCATCCTCATTGGCCGCGCGCGGTTGCGGTCGGCCGTCGCGACGGAGCGGAGCGACGAGTGTGGCGTCGCAGCACAGCGCTTCGCCTACGCGCGTTGCGCCGTAAAGATCAAGGTCCAGGCGGCGCCTGTCCTGCGCACTGACGCCTGGCGCAGAGGTGTTGGCCAACCACTGCTGAGGGACGACCCTGCGCTCAGGCCCCAGAGCTTCACGTGCACCGCGGGCCCACGCTCGTTCAAGCAAGGTGGCGCGGCGCACCAACAATCTTGGGCCCCCCAAGACATCGAGCGCAGCGCCGCACCCCGGCAACCCCTCGCCTCCGCGATGCCGGTGCGTGAGGGGCAAATGGAGGCACAGGCGCCGATGCAAGGCGACGTGCATGTGCGCCGGGGGCAGTGTGGGTGCCGCGCTCGCCGAGGAGCGCTTGCAGATTGTCCCAGACCGCGTGGTCATGCGCTTGCGTAGGCCGCCGGGAGCAAGTGTTGCGCCCTAGAGGAGCAGCTGCCAAGCAGACTGCAGCTGCGGCAGCTCCGCCAGCAAGCCTTGCTCCTGCTCGAGGCACTCCCTCGCGCACGGGGCCACAAACTCCGGGGCGCCGATGGGCGTGCCAAGGGCAACAAACCGCACCTTCTACCGGCTTGTTGCCACGCCGCACTCCAGGGCCGAGCTCCGAAATGCCCGGCGGGGCGGCGGTTGCGACGCAATTGTAGACGCGCGGTTTGCCCAGGTTGGCGGCCACCCCGGCGAGTTTTTTTTCTGGCCGAGGACATTGCTTCGATCGTGGAACGCAATTGGGCATGGTGACGAAAATCGCAACTTTGTAGTACAAGTCTAGTACGCGAAGCACACTTCTGCAGCTCCAGCTCGAAAATCGCAACTTTGTAGCACAAGTCTAGTACGCGAAGTACACTTTCGCAGCTCCAGCTCGAAATTCGCAACTTTGTAGCACAAGTCTAAAACACGAAGCACACTTCCGCAGCTCCAGCTCGAAAGCCGGAGCTTTGTAGTGCAAGTCTAGTACGCGAAGTGCACTTCCGCAGCTCCAGCTCGAAAATCGCAACTTTGTAGTACAAGTCTAGTACGCGAAGTACACTTCCGCATCTCCAGCTCGAAAATCGCAACTTTGTAGTACAAGTCTAGTACGCGAAGTACACTTCCGCATCTCCAGCTCGAAAATCGCAACTTTGTAGTACAAGTCTAGTACGCGAAGTACACTTCCGCAGCTCCAGATCGAAAATCGCAACTTTGTAGTACAAGTCTAGTACGCGAAGCACACTTCCGCATCTCCAGCTCGAAAGTCGCAACTTTGTAGTACAAGTCTAGTACGCGAAGTACACTTCCGCATCTCCAGCTCGAAAATCGAAACTTTGTAATGCAGGTCTAGTACGCGAAGTACACTTCCGCATCTCCAGATCGAAAATCGCAACTTTGTAGCACACGTCTAGTACGCGAAGCACACTTCCGCATCTCCAGCTCGAAAGTCGCAACTTTGTAGTACAAGTCTAGTACGCGAAGTACACTTCCGCATCTCCAGCTCGAAAGTCGCAACTTTGTAGTACAAGTCTAGTACGCGAAGCACACTTCCGCAGCTCCAGCTCGAAAATCGCAACTTTGTACAAGTCTAGCGAAGTACACTTTCGCAGCAGCTCGAAATTCGCAACTTTGTAGCAAGTCTCCGAAGCACACTTCGAAAGCTCCAGCTCGCAACTTTGTAGTACAAGTCTAGTACGCGAAGTACACTTCCGCATCTCCAGCTCGAAAATCGCAACTTTGTAGTACAAGTCTAGTACGCGAAGTACACTTCCGCATCTCCAGCTCGAAAATCGAAACTTTGTAATGCAGGTCTAGTACGCGAAGTACACTTCCGCATCTCCAGATCGAAAATCGCAACTTTGTAGCACACGTCTAGTACGCGAAGCACACTTCCGCATCTCCAGCTCGAAAGTCGCAACTTTGTAGTACAAGTCTAGTACACGAAGTACACTTCCGCAGCTCCAGCTCGAAAATCGAATCTTTGTATATTACAAGTCTAGTACGTGAAGTACACTTTTGCAGCTCCAGCTCGAAAATCGCAACTTTGTAGTGCAAGTCTAGTACGCGAAGTACACTTCCGCAGCTCCAGCTCGAAATCGCAACTTTGTAGTGCAAGTCTAGTACGCGAAGTACACTTCCGCAGCTCCAGCTCGACATTCGCAACTTTGTCGTGCAAGTCTAGTACGCGAAGTACACTTCCGCAGCTCCAGCTCGAAAATCGCAACTTTGTAGTACAAGTCTAGTACGCGAATCACACTTCCGCATCTCCAGCTCGCAAATCGCAACTTTGTAGTACAAGTCTAGTGCGCGAAGTGCACTTCCGCAGCTCCAGCTCGAAAATCGAATCTTTGTATATTACAAGTCTAGTACGCGAAGTACACTTCCGCATCTCCAGCTCGAAAATCGCAACTGTGTAGTACAAGTCTAGTACGCGCAGTATACTTCCGCAGCTCCAGCTCGAAAATCGCAACTTCTCAGTACAAGTGTCGTATTTACGAAGCACACCTTGGCAGCTCCAGATCGAAACTGGCGACTCGCCTTCTCGTTTTACGGTGGCCACTCCAGGGTCCCACCCTAACTAAGTTGCAACTGCAGGGTTATTATAGAGCCGTGTGTTAGTTAAGGGTTCTCGTTTTTGGGGGAGACCTTATCGTTTTCCATGGTTTTGGCATGTGTTATGCAAAAACGTACCCCGCCTGGATAAAGTGGTCTTCGTGTGTTTTGTCCGTGGCTCATATATAAGTCACCCCAAAAAAACAGCGAGAAACTCTCCCGGCCAGAGCTGCCGGAAGGCCGCCACCAACGCCGCGCGCTGCGCAAATACAAGCAGGGTGGGAGCCAACGTGTCGCCCTCAGCCAATGCGGTTCCGGCGCCGTCCCACCATGCCGCGCGTAGAAGGCACGGACAAAGATGGCGTCACTTCCTCGTGTTTGTCCAGGAAGGCCGCCGGGACGCCGAGTCCTCAGCGCAACGCCCATCAGGACAAGCCCGGTGGCAGCGCGAAGCAAAGCGGCCAGGTAATCCGTCCGCAGCGCAAACTGGTACGGCCTGGTGGCTTCATCGAGGCGCATAGCGCCTGGCGAGCGTGCGGGCGACCAAGGTGTCGCCAGTGGCGATGCCCCTCACTCCACCGCTGGGCTTTCGCAACGCCGTGAGGCGAGCAAGGGCAAGCGAGTATGGGCTCTGGGACATCCGCGTTGGCTAGCTGTCGCGCCTAGGACCCCCTAACTCAGCGCCATGAATTGGCATTTTGGCGTCGACTCATGTGGCTGCCGGAACTTGAGGACCTTCCCCGCTGCCAGCACTTGCGTCGCATGTTGCCACATTGCCATTGTCGGGGTCGGGGTTTGAACTGCGTTGAATCCTTAATTCTTGCAGGGGATTGTGGATTGCGGGAATAAGCTTGTTCACTTGCTTTCATTGTGCATTCATTATAGGGGTGTTGCACGCAGGGCTCAAAAAAAGCGGCGATAGAGCTTCCCGGTGAATTTTCGTTTTCCGACCCGTTCTTTGGCCATATCGCAAAGCCATGTTTTGCCTCAGCAAAGATCAAACTTTTGTGACGGCCGGGCTTGCCCGCGCATGGTGAGTCAGTGAGTGAGTGAGTGAGTGAGTGAG